TTGGAAAGCTTCTGCCAATCTTGGCTATAATGAGCCAAAAAAACTATTGGTCCAATTCACAGGTGGTTAGTAATTATACTCCAGGAACACCCACAACTCTAGTAAAGCAAAAGTGGGTGGAAAGCCAGACAGCATGAATGGTGACTTTCTCAGTTTTGGTTGGGGAAGGATCTTTTCTCCAGATGTATAAGATCTAGTAAACTTTCTATCAAAAATGAAGATTTCTCCTAAACAAAATCTATTTGCACTCAGTACATAAAGAAGCGTGACCAAGATAACGAGAAAAGGATATAAACTGAATAAAGGTTTAAACCTGGAAGCCAGAGAAAAAAGTAAAGTCTGGAAATAAGCATTGTGTAATAACTGTCATATGAATGAATTTCATTTTCAGCATAAGATGTATTTTACTGCAAAAATACTTAAATAAAACTGACTTATTCAAATCACCCTTGTGTCTTAGGTGTGAAACAGGTTAAAAGGTTTTGGCACTGTGTGAATGGACCAAAAACACAGCAGGTGCTATTAGCTGTTAAGCACGATGTTACAAAAATATGGATTCATATTGGTATTAAGGACTATAAGACTGGCAGAGACCTCCTAAGTCTCCTGCATCTGTAGGTACCCACATCAGTAACCCATTCATAAACTTATCAGGCTCCATCTTCATATTTCTTCTACTTTCTAGTGCAAATGTATTTGTAACTAAACTTTCTCTTACCTTTTCTATTATTTTTGCAATAGTTCTTTTTAAACTTCCTTCTTCAAGGCCAACCACTTTTTCAACACATAGCAAATAGAAAGCAGAACCCCTACTAGCCAGGCAAAGTTTACTGTCAACTGGTCAATGAGTATTCCAGGAAATCAAGTTCTCAGCATGCTCCAGAGTTCTGTGGTTTGGTCCTTGACATATATCTAAAATAAACATTTCTAGGAAGACCTTCAAGCACCTTGAAGAATTCACTACATCTAACGGAAACACCACTAAGAAGAAAACCTGAATTAAAAACTCTTAATGCTTTAGATTTTCTTTTCTTAGGCAACTCCATTATAGGTTTATTTTTCAGCATACAGGTAAGCTATCTTTGAAAGATACTTAACAAAAGTTACAACAGGTATGTTTCCAGTCTAGTCTTCCTGTTGTATGAGCACAGAGGAAAACAGGTAATACTATTCCTAAAGTAGCTTCAAAGGCTGTAACTACAAGAAATTCAAGGCATTCTCTTATACCTCATCCCTTTTAGAGAATGCCTAAGGGCATACTTTTGTTAGTGATTTTTGCTTATAGATTGGTTAAATGTAATCTATCCAGGTGTCTCTGAAGATAAACAAAATATGCCAATCAAAATTAAAAAAAAGTGCCCCAATTCCTTCATTTTAGGCATCATTAAAAAACACAGACTCACATGATTTTCACCTGGTTTCCTTTAGCATTATATGTCTGGTGATTTCAAAGACAGTATGCTTAATGGCTGAAAACTTATTGGTGTTGGAAATTCATGTGTGAACCTCTTTTCAAAATAAAAATGATATCCAGAATGCATCATAGTGTCTGTTATTCAACCAAGGACTTCTCATCATTTAACATTTGATGAACCATTGCCACTTTATCTTGCCTCAACTTTGGAGAAAAGGTCTGTTACCTTCTGAATCACTAACACAACTAACTATGTTAGGGGAATCTCAAATGTGCACACTTCAAATAACAGCTAGAATCTGCTGGTCTCCATGCCATCCTCTGGCTGCAGCTTCCTACACCCACCCCAGGAGGCAGGACCGCGTGGTATACCACAGGAGCTGAGGGTGAGTCTGGGCCACTGTAGGTGGGTGGAGGCAGAATCAGGGCCACGTGGAAGGGAAGACTGTGCTTGCATGGGGCAGCAGTTGGGGAGGCATGCATCGCAGCAGGAGGATGGGGACTTGTGCCTATGTGGTGTAATAGAGGGGGGGAAAGGCTGCAGTGCAACAGTAGGGGGCACCCAGTGCAGCAGTTGAAGGGACGCCCAGACAGGTGAGTGGAGCAGCAATGGAGGAGGATCTATGTGGCACAATGACCTACAGCTCACCTGGTGCAACCCACGCAGCATGTGGCTCCTGGGGACTAAGAAGTTAGACAGTCCTGACTTGGACAGACCGCCAGGATGTTGTGGGAAAATTAGCTTCAGATATTTATATTCCGATGATCAGCAATGGAATAATTAACAATGTTGACATCTCCAGGTTTCAGATTTAATTCACTTACATTGATATAAACTGGCCCATTCATCAATATTATGATTTTTCCCTCCAGTGATTCACGGCAACAGCATGAGTTGAAAAATATGAAGAGAACAGACACAGAGACCCCAGCATAAGCTGGCTTAATTCATACACTTCAGAGTAGACAACACAAAGAGTATTAGAAAGTAATGAAAGAAAGCATTATATTTAACTGTACTGAATCCAGGTTAGCTGTATATATTATGATATAAGCAAGGCTGACAATTTGAACTAGAATTGTTTTCATTTATTCATTACAGGGGACTTTGTAGTATGTATGAAAGACATTAACGAAGGACAAATGGGCATTTCTGGGTACAATGAAGAAAAAGTGTTCTGAATAAGGTAGGAAGTAGCTTTTGTTGCAGCAAGTTTGCATATTCTCTACTAAGAGCACAAGACTTTTGCAACGCACCAGCTCAAAATTAGAATTCTGGGCATCCATTCAACTTTTATGATTTTGTCCATTCCTCTGACAATGGGAAAAGAGTGCCCTGCAATTATTTATTGAAGATATTCCCATAGTATACTTCTTTACAATGCACATTTCCAAAAGAGGCCCTGTGCCTGCAAAATATCCAAGGAAGGGAAAACTACACTGTATTTCTTTTATTACATTTTTAATGGTTCAACAGGGTAATTAAATGACATCTTCTCCACCTCCCCCAGTCTTGGGGAAGGAAGGGCTGAGGAAGAAAGGAAGTTTCTTTAGACCAATGGGGTAACAAACTAGTCTTGGGGTCCTTAGACAGAAAGGAAAAAAGAGGGAGCTGGATCTTTTACCGTCTACCCCTAACCCAGGATGCATGAGGAGACAGTACCTGAGCAGGAAAGAGAAAATAGTCCTCCATTTTTCTCCCACTGGCTAGGAGGGGAACAGAAGAGTTGAGTGTCTTTGGTGCGTTACACAGTAGGCCTGTGCGAAGTGGCTAGTATTTGCTTCGGATTCGGATCCGGCCGATTCAGGGAACAGCGATTTGATTTGGTGATTCGAATCACTGCCCCGAACCGATTCGGCTGAATTCAATTCAGAGATTTGGAACCTGCCCCAGTTCCCGGCACTTTGAAAAAAAAAAGCCTGAACTCACTGGGTGCTTCCAGGTGGGGGGGGGGCAATCCCCGCTGCCCCCCACTGTGTGGGGGGCTCTGCACAAGCCCCCTGACCTCCCCCCCACTGTACCACTCATGGCTGCCCTGCTTGCTCCAGCTCTGGCCCTTTAAGAAAAAAAAACTCGAGAAAAACCCCCACACTCACCCTTCCTGCCAGTGGGGGTGATCCCCACTGCCTCCTGCCATGTGCAAGGCTCTTTCATGAGCCCCCCAAAGCCCTGAGGCCACTGCAGGAGTGGTGAGTCCTGGGGCTTTTCTTGGTTTTTTTTTCCTTAAAGGGCCGGAGCTGGCCCGGGTGGAGCATCCATGGGGTGGGGCTGGGGAAGTGGGGCTGGCAGAGCCCCCCCATGCAGCATGGGGCAGTGCAGGGTAATAGGGATCACCCTCCTCCCAGAAGCACCCAGTGATTTGGGCTTTTTTTTAAAGCACTGGAAGCTGGGGCAGGCAGGGCAGCCATGGGGGGGCTTGGGGAGTGGGCAGGGATCAGAAAGGGGATGGGAACTTGCAGTGATCCTCCCATGGTCTTCCCCCTCTCCCCCACCCCTCCTTCCCCGCCCTTAGTACTTACCAGCTCCAAGTCCGACTGCAGCTCCCTGCTGCAGCCACCGTGGACTGCCCAAATCATCAAAGCTCTCCGAATCTTTGGAAAAGATTCGGAGAGCTTTGAATTGGTTTGGACCTTTTAATTGGTCCCCGGATTCAATTCGGATTTAGAGATGCGGCCACCGAATTGGGCCGAATCTCCTCCGAATTGAATCACCACCCAAAGCTTTGCACAGCTGTATTACACAGTCCTGCTATATGGAAGGCTCTGAAGGTAGGTAGCAGCCAGTCCATTTGGGTTACTTACTAGCCTTTTCTGCTCTATAACAAAAGTATAATCTGAACTGCATTCCCAAGATGCTGTGGGCCTGACAGATCACAGGATTTGAGGATCACGAAGGAATATGATTTTGTTTGCTGCAAGGTATCTGATGGGGAGTTTCATCTTTCTAGGAACATCTTGGAGGCCTAATTTGGCATTAATGATCAAATATAAGATTTAAAAGGTGGAAGCTTAATGAGTGAAATTTGTCATCACCCACAGCTAGTGCTCAGTGGAGTAAGAGGCTCAGAGGGGCCATCTCACAGAAGTAAAAGAGTGTGAACACCAGTATATGATAGGTGGATGCAAAGAGCCAAGACAAAGATGAAGATACATTAAGCATATGCAACCTTTCATGTGGTCTCTCATTCCTCTTTGGATAGCGTGACCATATTACTTTTAAGGAAATCTGGGACACTGCCCCCTCAAGTCTGCAGTGCTGTTGCAGGCAGCAGCGTTCTTGGTGGTACTTGCCTGGTGCCCTATGCCGCTCTACTTCCCCGCCAGACTGAGCCCGACATCCTTGTGATTCCGGGACTTCTCTTTTAATTTTCACTAAATGGCTGGGATTGGCCTACGAAATCTCAAACTGTCCTTCCCAAACTGGGATGTGTGGTCACCCTATCTTTGCAGGATGAGGCAAAAGAGGTGTTAAAATAAAGAATAATATATGCACTTCATTTATGTCATATTTCTACCACTGCAAATGATTTAAATGTCTGATGTGAGCCATAGAAATTCTAAGAAAATCCCGGGTTATCTAACTTACCTCAATGGCTTTGCTGGAAGTTTCTAATCCAACCATATTAGCTTGTATTATTTGTTGCAGAAGTTGTACTTGAGCCACACTGAGGAAGAAATCCAGGTTTGTGGTCACATTCACCTCTAAAGAATGGCCGCACACTAAAATCTCCTATGGAGAAAAATAATTCAAAACACTTGTTAGCAAATTCCAGATAGAGAATTTACAGTTTCTACATGAACTACAAAATTTAAGCTATTTAAAAATGTTAATTAGGATTGTTAAATCTGCTTATCCTTAACTAGCAGAGACTGTCATACCAATTATAAAGTTTTCTGATGAAGGCACAGTTCAATATCTTACTTGCTTCCAACAGCCTATGTAACCATCAAGACAAACTATATCTAAGTGTTTCATGCGTGAGGTCTTGTTTCCGTTTTTTTGTAGTATCAAATAGTGGACTGTCAGATTTTTGTTTTTCATTTTCTTGGCAATGGATTACAATTCTCCTTTCCCCTCTTCTTCCAAAAGATGTACTTTTTTGGAATATAAAATAAGCTTGATTTATAATGAAATCATGTGTTGGAACCTGCTGATAACCAGCCTAATTGATTTCTGTTTACTTGTAAACCGCTGTTAATAACTTGGCAGAGTGAGTTGGATGACCACTATTTTATTGGTATTATATAGCACAGCTAAAGCTCTAGACCACGGTTGGCAGCATTACAGAGATGAAAAATAGAACCAGTCCAGAAAGGTTGATTAATAAGCAGAAGCACTGCCCTTTTCATGAGAATCTTGTTTATATTCAAATGTTTAGTAATCTATGTAGACCTCTTTCTTCACCAGTAAGTGTCTCGGAGGGAATAGGTAACAAGGAGAATCTGACTAATAAAACATTTACATTCCTGAACATGAGCATTAGTAAATTTCAGACGTTTCTTATTAATGAATCCTTTCCGTGCATCTCAGCTATCCCCCAATATTTGTTTAAGTTAAACTCTTTCCAACCCACACTTTTGACGGCATTTTACATTAAACGTTTCAATTTTCCCCTCATATAGCCAGTCTATTCATTCTACTTAAGTGTGTACCTGTAACCTATAGTTCAAATATGCCTTTTTATTCCTGCCTCAGTTTTGCCCTCCCCAGGAGGTAGCTATTATGAGAGATCACTCCTGCTTGCTGGCCAGAAATGACTGGCACCTCCTGACATATAAAATTTTTAAGTTCCCTTGTGCCATGCTAATGCCAAAAAATGAACCACAATCTCTTGTGTGTACAAGGTCCCGTAGGCTTATTGTTAATGAGCCGGCCTACAGACTGGTAAAAGTTATTGCAAAATCTTTCCAATTGATGTGGAATATCTTGCACTACCACTATTAATTTTGGGGTGGTATGCTTTTGGAAATTCTTAACTTGGGAAGTTCAACTACGACAAAAATCAGTTGATTCCTTTTTTGCTGAGACAATGTAGCTTTCAGGTTTGCTTTCCAGGGTCCTAGGAAAAGTGTTTTTTAAATGTTGAAAAGTGTTGAGAAAACATGATTCATTAAAAAGCCTTTAAAAATACTGCTGGAAACCATTAAAAGATTCCCACTTTTGATTTTTCAGACAGTGCCAAATTAGGTCAGCCTGTTTCATAGTTTCATAGTTTGGAGGGTCAGAAGGGACCTGAGCAGATCATCAAGTCCAACCCCCTGCCATTGCAGGAAAGAGTACTGGGG